TGAAGACCTGCAGCTGAAGACCTGCAGCTGAAGACCTGCAGCTGAAGGTGCCTCAACTGACTCGGGGGAGATGAACACGACACTCTTCAGGTTTTTATCTGTGAACATGTTCAAAGCGTGGATCATTTTCCTCCTCTTTACAACCGTGTGTTGTGTTGGCCGGTCGTGAAATGCTTTTGTTTGTGGTTGGAACAAGTTCAGGTGTGACGACTGCAACCTCATTAAAATGCATCTTTATGAACAAAAGGCATTACATCATCATTTCCAGCAGAACCATGATTTCTATGAAATGTAACTCGAGCAGAGCTGGCCTCTCTCTCTTTACAGGAAACAAAGCAGGTGAGCCTCCAGGAGCAGACGTGAACTTTTCCATTTAGATCACTAACACAACATTTACATCGCCCTCAGGAAAAGTTGGGATAAAACTTTTATGTTGGTGTTTTATGTGAAAAGGTTTTAATTACAAATTAGGACTCAATAACTATGAACTAATTACTTTAACCTCATGAAGAGTTGAGTGAGTTGAAGTTTGACTTCACTTTCTGTTGTCCTGCTCCATGAAAGAAACACTGAGCTTCATGTTTCCCACTAATTTGCTTCTAATTTGCAAATCCTTGTGTGTAAAGAGGAAGAACTCCGACTGAAGGTCAACGAGGAACAATAAACCTTTCTAGCTTCGGTTTCAAGCAAGTCTTTCCTGATATGCACATTTCCAAATTCTGCACGTCAAACAATGAATCAACCTCCACATTCTTGTTCCATCGTGTCTCGTTTGATCCCGTTTCTTCATTATTTACCTTACGGTCAAACAGGTAAACAGTTTAATGTTCAAATGATTGAGCCTGGCCGATATGGAAACGTTTTATCCATCACCGATACTGATATTTGAAAGGGAAGGTGAATAACTGATATAATGGCTGGAATTTTTTTTTTAGCTTTGTCCACCCCCAAGAATGTAAGAAAACAGTGAGTGGGGCGGGGCTTGTTTGTTTAGCGCAGCTGTTAGCAACCATGAAGCTAAGCTAATCAGATGCAGCTATACGTAGACCCACAGCAGGTTTACATGTGGAGCACTGGTCATTTTCTTGTAGAGAAGTAAAGTTTTCAGACAAACCATACATTTCAATGAGGACAATATATTTTACTAACTGATAAATTTTACCTTTACGTTAGATTTATTGTTCCGGATAAAGTTTTACAGACAGTAGCCTATGCTAGGTTATCTAAACGTTAGCATGCTAACTTGAGAGGCACGTAGCTCATGACAAGCAGGTTGGACGATTGAAGACAAATTATTATTGTTGATTTATTTTACAGATCAGTTAAAATAAACTCACCATCCTCTGTTCAGTTCTACACAGTTTTGCTCGCTGATTCGGCTGTGCTGAAAGTGAAACTTAAGTAACCGCCATGACTTGGTAGTTGTCTTCAGTTGGGCAGTTCATGAAGCGTGAGGTGATGCTCCAGGGCTAGCTTACGATGCTACTTATTTATGCTGCTTGTCCCTTCACTTTGTTTAACGATAAACTTCTTGGATATTTCCGTCTACTTCTCAAAATCTTTATCTGCGTTCTCTGGCCTCAAAATGTCACATTATGACACTGATGACACAAAGCAGGTTTAAAATGATTTATTCAGTAAAAACAGATATTCAAACTAAGCTGATCTTGTGTGAAGATCAGTTCCCCCTGAAGTCTAATAAAACTGGTTGTGCAACCTCTGGCAGCAACTTTTATCTCAAGCCTCTCATGTTTTTCTCCATTTGTTAATGGCGGCTCTATTTAGGTGATTTATTGACTCTACAGATCATAAAACTGACCTCAGCCTACCCAAAAAACATACTCAGTTAATGATTGACTGGTGGGGGGGGCAGGTTGGTTTGGAGAACTTTCTTCCCCTCGTTTTAAATTAAAACATTTCAAAACAGGTTTTTTTCTTTTTACTCAGATTAACATTTGTTTAATGATCTGAAACATCTGAGAGGGACAGAAACAGAATCTGTGAGGAGGAAAAATATTTATTGACAGTTCTGTAAATAATTAAAAAGTTTAACTTCTAGGAGTTTATTTAAATCAAGAATTTTCTTGAAAAACTCACTAAAAATATAGAAAGAAAATACTGTAAAAGTCCTGCAACTTTAAATAAAGTGAAGAGTTTTAGAACGACCAGCACGTTCTGTATCGGAGTTACTGTGCAAACGTTTGGAGCAACATGTGCAACACTCCCCCCTCTTGATGATGAGGACAGTCGTCGTGCGACGTGGATTGTTGCACTGACTTACCGCTCTCTTTTGCTTTGTGTTCCTCCTCCGTCACTCGATCTTGCAGCTGCGCCTGGTTGGCTCTGAGGCAGCGGTTCATCTCCTGCTCCTCCGTCAGCTCCTGACTCAGCTTCACCACTCGACCGTTCAGCTGCGTGCACCTGAAGGTCCAAACACAGCCGAGCTGTCAGATGGCTACTATAACCTTAGAACCCCTCAGCAGCCATCAGGGCACTAACGATCAATCAGACTGATGGTCTGCCTTTTACATGTGAACAAATAGTTCTGTCATCAACAAACTGGTTGATCCACCATGAGAAGGTGCCATTTATAAGGCTGAGTTTGTTGCAGCTCCTCAGACTGAAGAAGTCTTCTGGATACCCAGCACACACACATTTTGCCCCGCTCCCCTCAGGAAGGAGGTTGAGGAGCATTAAGTGTAGAACCACTAGACTGAGGAACAGCTTCTACCCTGAGGCTGTTAGATCATGAATCTCTAATCAGAATGATTACATCATGTTGCTGCTGATCTGTTTCATGTTGCTGCTGATCCGTTTCATGTTGCTGCTGATCTGTTTCATGTTGCTGCTGATCTGTTTCATGTTGCTACTGATCTGTTTCATGTTGCTGCTGATCCGTTTCATGTTGCTGCTGATCTGTTTCATGTTGCTGCTGCTCATGTTCGTGCTGCTGTTTGGCGTATTGTTTTTATGCTACTAGTGCTTAGTGTATTTTTAGTTTAACGTTTTTCTTAGTTCATATCTTAGATCTTTTTATTGTTTTTCTTTTACATTTTATTGTTGGAAGTAACTTGGACCCTGTGAACATAATGTCATTCCACCACGTGTACCACATGTGGTGGAATGACAAATAAAGAAACTTTGACTTTGACAGAGAGTTTTTAAATAATAAACAAATCAAGTATTCTATTTATTTCTTGTAGTATAAAACAGTGAAAAAGATACTGAACGTAGTTTCAGTCGTATGTTTGAAACTAAAGAACATGTTGTTAACTCTTAACAGTTTCCAGTCTTCTCACTTAAGAAATGAACAGCAACAATCAGCATTTTACACTGAAGACACTTTACAAAACTAAAACTCAAATCATTTGTTGAGTCTAAAGATTGTTGGCCAAGAGCACCAGCTGGTCCAGTCTCTGGCTTTAACAGACCAGTGGCCTGACACGATGGCACCGGAGCTAAACGCCCTTTCTGAAGGAGCGCTCGTGGCTGGGATGATGTTTTTGCTCCTGCCTTTTTAACGAGCTGCTCTCCTGCACTCTCAGCCATGCTGCTCTCTGCGGCCGATTACATCATCAACAAGCGCGGTCAGCCGGTGCAACACAGATCTCCACCACAGGCTGAATGTGTATCGTTTCTACCGTGCACCGTATATACACATCACACATTCATAGAAAGCAGCAACTACTCTACAAACTACATCAACTATACCCAGACAAAATCTAAAGAATAAAAAAACATTTGTAGTACAATGTACTTGTCAAGTACTACACAAGTATTTATGCCCTAGCCCCAAAAACAAAAACTTTGTTTTTGCTTGAGAATCTTATGTAACTTGTTCCCTTACTAATACAATCACTGCGTGATAACAAAGCTGTGAAGTCATATCCCACTGTGCACACGTGCACACGCCCAGATGTTCCATAAGATTAGCTTCAAAATGAGAATCACAGAATGTGGCAACAAGAAGCAACATCCACAGGGTGTCAGGAATGACCGGCAGTAAAAAGTACCAGCCCTGAGAACTGATACCAACATGTCTGTGGATACTATTTACATATTAAAATACTCTCATCATCACTCAAAGTACACACACACACACAGAAAATACACTTTACAATCATTACATTTTTATTCTAACTCAGTCTAAGAGCTAAACTTCTATTCTCTAAATGTCAGTAAAGGCCAGATGTGGCCTGTGGGCCTTGAGCTTGATATTTATATTTTAAACTACGTGAAGTAATAAAACCAACAACCAGGCTTTCAGTTGTAATATAAAATACGTAAAGTGCAAAACGAACATCTTGATTCAGTGTTATTGTAAGTAGAGAAAATAAAAATAAAATGTAATAGATGTTGAACACCTGGTGAATAGATTTAATCTTCACGTCTTGTTCTCGGTCCATACGAGTAATCTGCACCGCTCTCTGGCTCGTCACCAGGACCAACCAGTCCTGGAAGACCCCACCAGGACCAGTCCTCCCAACAACATTTACAACATTAGTTTTGTAGAGTCCCTCCAGGACGCTCTATGAGACGATCTATCTGGTCATCTAACACACCGAAGGTCTAGATTCTTTAGGAGTAACTACAAAACAAGTGGATATAAATGCACGTCGTCTGTCCGGGGGCGTCGAACCGGCGACCTTCCAATCACAGGCTTGCCTTTTCTAACCTCTGCTCCACCGCTCCCCCACAGTTACGTCTCAGTATGTTTCTAAATCTAATCAAGTCCGTCCAAACAGCCACCTGTTAAAAGACCGTGCACGAATGAAGCCATTCATGATCAGCTGACACGGACTCTCAGAAAGAACTTGGTGAGTTTTGGGGAACGTTTACCGGAGACGAACGTCTTTGATATAATCTGGAGCAAAATATTCGTCTTTTAGCGTAAACATTTAGAAAAACTGAAGCAGCAGGAACCGCCTCCTCATCGTGTAGAAACTCAACAGGTTGCGCACTCGTGCAGCGTGCACGTCTCGCTCAGACCTAGAGTTCGGTCACGAGCACAGGTTGCACGTCTGTATGACGACGCCCCAAATATTAAAGGGACTCGTTATACGGTTATAGCATCGTTACATGAAGGTCACAGAGCTGAGGCAGCCATCTTGAACAGAGCTGACTTCAAAAGTTTACCAGTTGTAGGTTAACCAGTTGTAGGTTAACCAGTTGTAGGTTAACCAGAGTTGTAGGTTAACTAGAGTTGTAGTTTAACCAGTTGTAGGTTAACCAGTTGCAAGTTAACCAGTTGTAGGTTAACCAGTTGCAAGTTAACCAGTTGTAGGTTAACCAGTTGTAGGTTAACCAGTTGTAGGTTAACCAGTTGCAAGTTAACCAGTTGTAGGTTAACCAGTTGTAGGTTAACTAGAGTTGTAGTTTAACCAGTTGTAGGTTAACCAGTTGTAGTTTAACCAGTTGCAAGTTAACCAGTTGTAGGTTAACCAGAGTTGTAGGTTAACCAGTTGTAAGTTAACCAGTTGTAGGTTAACTAGAGTTGTAGGTTAACCAGTTGTAGGTTAACCAGTTGTAGGTTAACCAGGTTAACCACTACTACATCCAATTTTAGCTGAGTAAATGTAAACCAGCTAAACTATAGCCATTTCTGTGTTTGATAAGGCCGCTGAATTGTGGTGGCCATCTTGGAGTGGGTGACTGGAGGTTCAGCTGTAGATGTTCATCCAACAACTACTTTGAGACCTTCAGCAGCATCCGTCCAGTGAGACCTTCAGCAGCATCCGTCCAGTGAGACCTTCAGCAGCATCCGTCCAGTGAGACCTTCAGCAGCATCCGTCCAGTGAGACCTTCAGCAGCATCCGTCCAGTGAGCTCAGGGACAGCTAGAGCAGGCACAGACGTGAAACACAAACCTACTTTTTCTCCACGCTATGCTTCTCTTTGGTTATTTCTCCTAATCTCTGCTCCAAGCTGTCGCAGCGCTCCAACGTCTCTTTGAACTTTGTCTTCATGTTGTTGATCTGAAAATGTAAAAACAGCGAGGAACAGTTTGAACCAAAGACCAAGCCCCAGAGGAAGAAGTGTGTCCTTCAGTACCTCCTCAGCGGTCTCCTTCTCCAGATGGACGATCTTATTTTCCCAGTAGATCCTCTGAGACTCCAGCTGACTTGTCAGCAGGTACGAGTACTGCAAGCAGGACTAGGGATTAGTATTTTAGGCAAAATATCTTTACAAATCTAGATGGTCTTTAAATTATCTTTAAATCTTAATAGGACTTCATTTGTACCAGTGCAATGGATCTATTGGGGGGGGGGGGGGGGGTGTCTATGGTCCGACAGTAAAGTCGTGCTCGCCATGACTAAAGCTTCCAGTTTCACTTTTTACTTCTAGGTGATTCAGAATGAGGAAACAACTTGAAAATGTGAAAATCCCATCTCTAGTTCAGACTCATCGTTCCACGTGCATTTAGGAACTACCAAAGCACTTTATTCATAAAGCACTTAAAACAGCAACAAGGACAACCCAAGTGCTGTACAGCAGAAACAAAACAAAGAACACAGCATCAAATACACAGATCCACAGAGGTAAAGATAAGAACTGAATGACTAACATTATAAAATACAGACAACTTCAAATCAACCCATACAAGGTCAAAAACCAGAGAATAAAAATGAGTTTTTAAATGAGATTTAAAAACAGTGAGGGAGGGAGCCTGCCTGATGCAGTGGTAACTCATTCCACCGTCTTGGACCTGCAACAGAGAAGGTTCTGTCACCTCTGAGATTAAAACGAGTGCCTGGAACCAATAAAAGCATCTGGTCTGCTGACCTCAGAGAGGCTGTGGGACATATGGCTGCAGCAGATCAGTGAGATAGGAAGGGCAGAACTGTTCAGAGATTTAAAAACATACAGAAGGATTTTAAAATGAATTTGGAAGTGAACCAGGAGCCAGTGAAGTGAGGCCAGAACTCTTTTGCCTGTACCAGTTAAAAATCGGGCTGCAGCATTTTGAACCAGTTGTAACCAAGCAATGGACGATGACTGATTCCAAACACAAGAACATTGCAGTTATCAAATCTGGATGTTATGAATGCATGTTTTACTGTTTCAAGTTTACTTTTGGACAGTATGGGCTTCCATTTAGACAGTCGCCTCAACTGAAAAATAAAACAGGATTTAACAGTTGTGTTTACACGATTGTTTAGTTTCATAGAAGGGTCCATTTTAAATGCAGAGAACAAATTTCACCATTTTATGGGAACATACAATGATGACACATAGGACTTTTACTTATTCTCACTCACAGATTAGTGAGAACTTGCTTCTCTAACAGGGGTAGAGAGGAACGGTCGATACAGTGGTTCCTGATTGAGCCATTAGGTGGAAACAACATGACTTCTGTCTTCTTCTCATTAAAATTTAAGAAAGTTAAAGCCATCCAATCCCTAATGTCAACCAGGCAGTCAAGAAGAGGTTGGATAGAATGTGCACCAGTGTGCTTCAGAGGGAAGGAAATTTGACCGTCATCGGCATAAAAATGAAAAGGGATGTCGTGTTTATGAAAAATAGCAGCTATTGGCAGCAGGTATAAAGAAAAGAGAAGTGGTCTGAAAACAGAGCCCTGTGGTATCCCCCCCCCCCCCCCACCGATGAGCTGCCGATGTTGAAATATATCCTTGATTAGGGATGCACCGATTGCAGTTTTCTGGCCGATCACCGATTTCTAAAATGTCTGACCTGCCGATACAGATTTTGTTTTATAAGCGACACTATCGGGTGTTATAAGGTCACAATACACCTTCAATTTTCAGTCTTATTTTATTGAAAAACATGCCCTTGAACAATATTCTAGAAACAATACAAACTTGTTTTAACTGGCCATGAGGTAGTGCTCTGAAATATGAATGAAGTTCAGACAATTGTTGTTAAAACTTAAAAAAAAAAAAATCGGTAAAATCGTTTTTTCATGCAAGTATCAGCTGATTTCCCATTTCCCATAATTAAGGAAATCGGAGTGCACCCCTGTCCTTGATGTTGACACATGGACAAATAGGGAAACGAAAACTGAAAAACGTAAAAAGCTTACCTCTAGTTGAAGTGCATCTATCTTCTCTTCTTGGCAGATTTCCCCTTCACATTCAAACTGCACCATCTTCCCATCAGTCTTACTGGCCACAAGCCGATGCACATAATTATCTGCAGAACAGGTGTAACAGAGAACTGACTGGACTAAAGGATCCAAAACAACAGTGAGTTCTGAAAACATATTACTTCCATTCATTTTCTTCACTCGCGTTTTCCTTTCTAGGTCATGGGGTAACTGGTGCCCATCCCGAGCAGTGATTGTGCAACAAGCCCCATTGACCCATTGACTCTGCACCTAGTCCAGCCCCATTCCACCAGGACCCCGCCTTGTCCATGTCTCTCCAGACCAGTCGTCTCCTCTCAGCTGCAGCTCTTCACGTCCCTTCGCTCCCCTCATTACTCTGCTCCAACCCCTCGTTCATCAAGAGCCAGGAGCTCAGGAGGACAAAGGCCTGGAAAGCAACCGGCCCAACACCTTCAGCTCCAGAGTACTGAGAGAGAGCTGAACAACTCGGTGAGGTGGTTCTTCACATGATCGACCTGAGCCTCACTTGGTACGGTCTTGACCCGGTGGAGGACATCCTGTGTGGAACCTGTTCCCAGAGGAGTCCATCCCGGGAGCCAAGCCACTACAGACCCTGACCTCTCACCTCATGAAGACCATAGAGGATCATCCTTTACCACCGTCACTGCATTGGACTCTCTAAAGTTCACCTACTGACCTGGCACACGAGTGGAAGACGTCGCCTCCTGAGACCCCGGGCACTTGCATTCCCCCGAGTGCGCTCAATTCCACGTTGATGTACAAAGGAAGTGCGCTTGGACTCAAGAGTACGCACGGTTTCATACATCGGGATTTATTTGTGCGTACGCCACGTTTCGGTAAGAAATCCACGCAAGTCTTTGTGCACGAGGCCCCGGAAGTGTCAGCGCACACAACACACAGTTTTACCTCCTGCGTAGTCCCACACGCGGTGGTTGGTGAGCTGCATGGCGTAAGTATGCTGCGTCTCCTCAAAGTGCTTGTAGGCGTGCCGGCTCACGTAACGACCACAACCGATGTGTCCGCAGATCAGGCAGATCCACAGGTTCTGCAGCGAACGACAACAAAAGAAGAAGCTGACTCCAGGAGAGAGCACAAAGTTATGAACTCGTGTTGTGTCGGGGACTTACCTCCTGAACGCCACACTCAAAACATTTGTTCTCTTCTACGGGTTCTGGCGTCTGACAGTACCGGCACACAGGACACCTGAAACACGCAGAGCACATTCAACACGTGACGCACAAGAACACGCAACCAACAGCTGTGAGGAGTAAACAAAGCAGCAGACATCTTCTTCTTCAGTACATTTCAACAACCGACCGTGTCCAGCTGGTCCAAAGAACGCAGGCTCAGTCCAAACTGTACCAACGTTTACAACAATTATCACCACATGGCGGCATGGGGGGGGGGGGGGGGTCACAGACAAATTAATCCCTTTAAATGTCTTAAAATAAACAGAGTCCTCCTGAGACTTTATCATTTGTAACGATGGACACCTACTCTGACGGAGAACCTGAACAAGGCTGCTGGTGTCCCACAGGGTCCCACTGAACGGAAACTGTCCATCATCTTTACCCACTTCTTCCTTTCTTGGGTCGCGGGGGTCACTAGTGTTGGCACGGTAACCATCTTTCTGCATTTTGTTAAAACATTAAAAAATTGTTGCATGCTGCACCTGAATATGTGGAAACCTTGCGTCAAACAGAAACATCACTTTCAAAAGTTTATGGAACTAAACAGCTTGTTGCAACATGCTGCTGCCAGAGTCTTAACTGGAGTTACTGGGAGAGATCATCTCTCTCCAGTTTTAGCTTCTCTCCATTGGCTCCCTGTCAAATCCAGAATAGAATTCAAAATCTTACTTCTAACCTACAAAGCTCTCAACAACCTAGCTCCATCTTATATTACAGATCTTATTGGTCCATATTTTCCTAACAGAGCACTTCACTCTCAGACTGCAGGTTTACTTGTGGTTCCTAGAGTTTCCAGCAGCAGAATGGGAGGAAGATCTTCCAGTTCTCAGGCTCCTCTCTTGTGGAACCAACTTCCAGTTTATGTCCATGAGGCTGACACATTGTCCAGTTTAAAGACTGGGATTAAGACTTTCCTTTTTGATAAATCCTATAGTTAGGGTCGGCTTGGGTTTCCTGAGCTGTCCCTTAGTTCTGCTGCTATAGGCTTAGACGGCTGGAGGACAAAGTGACCACATGTCCTCACTCTGCTTCTGTCTTTACTTACTCTCCCTGTTTGTAATTATTTCTATCTGAACATGGTTTTGTCTTTCCTCCTATAGAAAGTACACCTGGACTATAGACACCTGGATTATAGAAAGTATGCCTGGACTATAGAAAGTATGCCTGGACTATAGAAAGTACACCTGGACTATAGAAAGTACACCTGGAC